TTCTCCAGAACAGATCACATATTAGCCCCCAAAACAAACCTCAGCAAATTCAAGAAGATCAAAATCAGGGGCGCCTGGGGGGCTCAGTCAGTTAAGTGTCTACCTTCGGCTTAGGTCATGATCTCAGGGTCCAAGATTGAGCCCTGCGTGGTGGGCTCCCTGCTCAGCAGGGAGTCTGCTTCTCCCTCTCCTCTGCCCCTCCCCACCCCTGCTTGTGCTCACTTTCTCTCTCTTTCCTCTCTCAAATAAATAAAATCTTAAAAAAAAAAGATCGAAATCATACCATGCATATCTTCTGACCACAATGTTATGAAACTAGAAGTCAACCACAAGAAAAAATCTGGAAGGACCACACACACATGGAGGTTAAATAACATGCTATTAAACAATGAATGAGTCAACCAGGAAATCAAACAAGAAATAAAAAAGTACATGGAAACAAATGAAAATGAAAATACGATGGTCCAGAACCTCTGGGATACAGCAAACAAAAGTGGTTCTAAGAGGGAAGTTTATAGCCAAACAGGACTACCTCAAGAAGCAAGAAAAATCTCAAATAAACAACCTAACCTTACACCTAAAGGAGCTGGGAAAAGAACAACAAACAAAGCCCAAAAGCAGCAGAAGGAAATAATAAAGCCTAGAGCAGAAATAAATGACATAGACACTAAAAAAATAAAGCAGATCAATAAAACCAGGAGCTGATTCTTTGAAAAAAAATCAATAAAATGACAAGCCTCTGGCCAGACTTATCAGGTAAAAAAGAAAAAGAACTCAAATAAATAAAAAATGAGAGAGAAGAAATAACAACACTACAGAAATACAAACAACCATAAGAGAATATTATGAAAAACTATATGCCAACACATTGGACAACCTAGAAGAAATGGATACATTCCTAGAACATATAAACTCCTAAAACTGAAACAGGAAAAAATAGAAAATCTGAACAGACCAATAACGAGCAAAGAAATTGAATGCTAAAAACACTCCCAAAAATCAGAAATCCAGGACCAGAGGGTTTCACAGGTGAATTCTACCAAACATTTAAAGAGTTAATGCTTATTCTTCTCAAACAATAGAAAAGGAAGGAAAACTTCCAAATTCATTCCTTAAGGCCAGCAGTACCCTGATACCAAAACCAGATAAAGACATCACTAAAAAACAGACATATAGGCCAATATCCCTAATGAACATAAATGCAAAAATCCTCAACAAAATACTAGCAAATCCAACAATACATTAAAAAAATCCCACGATCAAGTGGGATTTATTCCTGGGCTAAAAGGGTGGTTTAATATTCTCGAGTCAATGTGATACATCACATTAGTAAGAGAAAGGATAAGAACCATATGATTATTTCAATAGATGCAGATAAAGCATCTGACAAAGTACAACAACATCCATTCATGATAAAAATCCTCAACAATGTAGGTTTAGAGAGTACATACCTCCACATAATAAAGGCTATATATGAAAAACTCACAGCTAACATGATCCTTAATGGGGAAAAACAGAGCTTTTCCCCTAAAGTCAGGAACAAGACAAGGATGTCCACTCTCACCACTTTTATTCAACACAGTACTGAAAGTCCTAGCCTTAGCAATCAGATAGCAAAAGGAAACAAAAGGCATCCAAATCGGTAAGGAAAAAGTCAAACTTTCACTATATACAGATAACAGGATACTTCATATAAAAAACCTAAAAGACTCCCCCAAAAACTTCTAGAACTGATAAATGAAATCAGTAATGTCACCGAATACATAATCAATGTAGAGAATTCTGCTCCATTTCTAAACACCAATAATGAAGTAGTAGAAAGAGAAATTAAGAAAACAATCCTGTTTCCAATTGCACCAAAAATAATAAGATACCGAGGAATAAACCTAGCCAATAAGGTGAAAAACCAGTACTCTGAAAACTATAACACCGGTGAAAGAGGGGTGCCTGGGTGGCTTGGTCGGTTGAGCATCTGACTCTTGATTTCAGCCCCAGTCATGATCTCAGGGTCTTGGGATTAAGCCCCGAGTAGGACTCTGTGCCCTGCAGGGAGTTGGCTTGAGGATTCTCCCTCTCCCGCTGCCCCTCCCCCTGCTAACAGGCTCTCACTCTCTCTTTAAAAACAAAAACAAAAACACTGATGAAAGAAATTGAAGACAACCAAAAAAATGGAAAAACATTCCATGCTCATGGGTTGGAGGAACAAATATTGTTAAAAATATCCATACTACCCAAAGCAATCTACACATTTAATGCAATCCTGATCAAAATCCCAACAGCATTTTTCACAGAACTGGAACAATTTGTACAGTACCACAAAAGACCCCAAATAACCAAAGCAGTTTTGAAAAAGAAAAGCAAAGCTGGAGGCATCACAATTCTGGACTTTAAGCTGTAGTAATCAAAAACAGTACGGTACTGGCACACAAAAAGACAGAAATCAATAGAACAGGATAGAAAACGCAGAAATAAACCCACAACTATAAGGTCAATCTTTGACAAAGCAGGAAATAACATCCAATGCGAAAAAGATAGTCTCTTCAACAAATGGTGTTGGGAAAACTGGACAGCGACATGCAAAAGAAAAAAAACTGGACCACGTTCTTACACCATACACAAAAATAAATTCAAAATGGACTAAGGACCTAAATGTGAGACCTGATGCTATAAAAATCCTAGAAAAGAACACAGGCAGTAACTTCTTTGACATCAGCCAAATCAACTTTCTTCTAGATATGTCTCCTGAGGCAAGGGAAATAAAAGCAAAAATAAACTTTTGGGACTACATAAAAATAAAAAACTTCTGCACAGCAAAGGAAACAACAAAACTAAAACACAACCTACAGAATGGGAGAAAGTATTTGCAAATGACATATCTGATAAAGGGTTAGTATCCCAAATATAGAAAGCATTTATCAAACTCAACACCCCAAAATCAAATAATACAATTATAAAATGGGCAGAAGACATTTTTCCAAAGAAAACATACAGGTGGCCAACAGACATCTGAAAAGATGCTCATCATCACTTATCATCAGGGAAATGCAAATCAAAACTACAATGAGATATCCTCCCACCTGTCAGAATGGCTAAAATCAGCAACACAGAAACAACAGGTGGTGTTGTTTGGCGAGGATATGGAGAAAAAGGAACCCCCTTGCACTGTTGGTGGGAATGTAAACCAGTGCAGCCACTGTGGAAAACAGTACAGAGGTTCCTCAAAAAGATAAAAACAGAACTAGCCTACAATCCAGCAATCGCACTATTGAGTATCTACACAAAGAATACAAAAACAGTGATTCAAAGGGATACATGCACCCCTCATTTATATAACAGCATTATTTACAATAGCCAAGATACGGAAGCAGCCCAAGTTTCCATCTATAGATGAATGGATAAACAAGATGTGGCATATATATATTTATACAATGGACTATTACTCAGCCATAAAAAAGAATGAAATCTTCCCATTTCCAAGGACACTGATGGAGTTAGAGTGTATTATGCTAAGTGAAGTAAGTCAGAGAAAGACAAATACCATATGATTTCATTCATATGTGGAATTTAAGAAACAAATGATCAAAAGGGGAAGAAAAGATAGAGACAAATCAAGAAACAGACCCTTAATTATACAGAAAAAACTGATGGTTACCAGAGGGGAAGAGGGGAGGGGTGGGTTAAATAGGTGATGGGGATTAAGGAGTGCACTTGTGATGAGCACAGGGTAATGTATGAAAGTGTTAAAATTACTATAATGTACACTTGAAACTAATATAATACTGTATGTTAACTAATTGGAATTAAACTAAAAGCTTAGGGGCACCTGGGTGGCTCAGTCAGTTAAGTGTCCAACTCTTGATCTTGGCTCAAGTCATGAACTCACGGTTGTGAGATCAAGCCCCACATACTTAAGATTCTCTCTTCCTCTGCCTCCCCGCCTCCAAAAAAAAAAAAAAAAAGAGCAAACTCCTGACCATCTAAGAAGCCTACATGTGCTGGTCCTCGCCAACCTCTCTCTCTTGCTCTCCTGTGCACCAGCCACAGGGACCTGCTTTATGCTCTTGGAAAATTTAATCTTTCCCATTTCAAAGCCTTCACACAGGTTGAAAGCCCCTTCTTCCCAGATCCCAACTATCTGGTTTGTTTTTTTTTAAAGATTTTATTTATTTATTTGACAGAGAGACAGCGAGAGCAGGAACACAGCAGGGGGAGCGGGACAGGGAGAAGCAGGCTTCCCACGGAGCAGGGAGCCTGATGTGGGACTCGATCCCAGGACCCTGGGATCATGACCTGAACTGAAGGCAGACGCTTAACGACTGAGCCACCCAGGCACCCCCAACTATCTGGTTAACAAGTTCTCCTAACTTCTTTGGGAAAAACCTTTCTTAACCTCCAGACTAGGTCAAGCCTCCTGACAATGCTCCATTTGCCTCTGTCTCACAGTGCTAAATCTGCTTGGTAATTACACTCATAAAGATCTACACTATGTCTTAGACAGTAACATTAAGAGGTAAGGACCTGTTTTTTGATTACCACTGAATCCCCAGGAATCAACACCAAGCACGATGCCTGGTTCCATTTTAGGAGCTTACAACTTGTACTGAATAAATACAATTTCAGAGGAGGGTTGGGGAAGCCGTAGCTATTAATCTGGTTAGTACTTCTCTGTAACACTTAATCACATTCTGTCCAGGTGCTTATTAATATTTAATTTTTCCTTCCTTGCTGGATTTTTAGCTCTGTTGTATACAACTTTGAATGTTCCACTGCCTCCAAATGATAGTGGAGCTCAGAGGAGATTCTCCAGGCTGGGGAAATGGTATGGAATTGCAGGGAAGTTAAGTGGCCAGAATAGAAAGAGAGAGAAGGGTGAACTCTACCCAGAAGGCAGCTGTGGCCTGAGGTAAGGACATGTTTCCTGCCCTAATTTTTCCTTCTTAGGGCCATTGGAGTTGACCTCTCTTTGTGGGGATGTGAGGATTCAAAAGGGCAACACTTACTTGTTCCCATGAAGAAATCATATGACGTTCAGCAGGTGGTTTCTCTATGATAGTCACCTCTGTCACACCTGGGGAAGATTCTGGAAGAGGAAAAGAGAGTCTGTAGAGTTGCAGTGGGCCTGCTCTCACATATTTCAATACTAGAGGCTGACTGTTGATGAGTACCTAGGAATATCAGATTCCTCTGAGCAGCATTTATTACTACCCATACTGTGATAAAAACAGGAAGAACTGGTCAGTCCTTCAAAGGCACTCAGTCCCACAACCTAGGACCATGCAATCAACCTGGTAGAAAGGACATCATCAGAACACCCACTACACAGTCACTGCTCAGTACTTCAGTTATTGAACAAAAATCAGAGATTCTACATTCCTAGTGATTTCATACCTCAACTTCTCACTTACGACATGGTCAAAAGGAATAAAGAATAGCACCTCAATAAACTTTTACAAGATATAAAACTTGTTTGCTAGTTTTTCTTCTAAATAAAACCCATCTGTACTTTATGAGATCCCAGATTGAGTAGTTTAGGCTAACACTATGAAAAATGGATTCCATCCAGAAATATACTGAAAACAAAATAAATCATATCTCTAAGTCTTGAAAGCAGGAAAAGGTCTCCAAATAATCTCTTTGTGGGGCTGCGTTCTAGCATTCTTTCTGAAGTAAAAAAAGAAGCCACCTGACTTGGAATTCAACAGACTTTAATACCTCCTCCTACATTCTCTACTTGTCTGTTTACCCACACTCAGGACGTTGAAATCCTTAATCTAAGACACAAAATCTGCTATGGGTTGAATTGTGTCCCTCACAAAAAATATATGTTGAAGTCCTTACTGCCAGTTCCTCAGAATAGGACTTGATTTGGAAATAAGGTCAGTGAATATGTAATTAGCTAAGATGAGGTCACAGTGGAGTAGGGCAGACCCCAAATCCAATATGACTGGTCTCCTTATAAAAAGAATGCTTTGTGGAGTGACAGAGGGAAGAGGGTCACATGAAGATGGAGAAATGGAGTGGTATATCTGTAATACAAGGAACGTTAAAGATTGCTGGCAAACCACCAGAAGTTAGAAAAGAGGCAAGGCAGGTTCTTCCCTTCCAGGTTTCAGAATGAGAGTGACACTGCCAAGCCTTTGGTTTCAGGCTTTCGGCCTCTAGGACTGTGAGAATCAATCTGTTGTTCTAAGCCACCTGGTTTGTGGTACATTCTATGGCAGCTCTAGCAAACTAACACAAAGCCTATCTGCTTTTCTCTTTGTGATATTGCATAGATTATTCCCATTGTCACCACTGTTTTAGGCCACGGTCACTGCAAGTGTAGATGCAACTGAAGCCACAAACTCTCTGTGCTCTGATCCAACCTCAGCATACCAGCAGAGGACTTTCTTCATACCTAGGCTTGTTTCCTATCTGATCTATTGGGTTCTCCTTGTAGTCTGGAGGATAAGGCCCTTCTCTGTCTGGTCTTAACTTCTTCCACCCTGTAGTCCAAACCCTCTGTTCCAGGTGTGTCAATTTCCTCATTGTCTCCACCCCTGTGCCCCCCAGCCCCAAAACTAAATCTGTACTTATCTTTGATTATGCTGTATCCCTTTCCCATTATACACACCCAAATGTGTCCACCTACACAAGTCCTACCCACACTTCAAGGCTAAGCTGAAGCTCCACGTCCTCCATGAAACCATTTCAGATGACTCTAGTTCACCATGATCTCTGCTTTTCCCAATATCCGAACCCATCACATGCAGTGTTGGGCCCACATAGGTTCATACTTTTTTTTTTTTTAAAGATTTTATTTATTTGAGAGAGAGAGAGTGTGTGCAAGTGCACAAGCAGGGGGAGGGGCAGAGGGAGAAGCAGACTCCCCGCTGAGCAAGGAGCCTGATGTGGGGCTCCATCCCAGGACCGTGGGATCATGACCTGAGCCTAAGGCAGATGCTTAACCTGACTGAGCCACCCAGGTTCCTCTCCCCACCCCTTTCTTAAAAAAGATTTTATTTATTTGAGAGGGAGGGAGGGGGAGGGTGGGGGGGAGAGAGAGAGAGAGAATGCACATTTGCTTATACTTAATTATATTCTATTTTGAACCATATTTTGGTTATTTACTATAAGTAAATACTGTAAACAGGGAATGTATTGAAAAGAATTTTTTAAAATCTCTAAGGATAAGGCAGAGACTTCTAATCTAGTTTAATGTATAAAATGGCTCCTGGACCCAACCCCTCCAACATTTTTGTGGGGAGGTTTCCTCATACGAACAAGCAATTCTCGGATATCCTGGTGTCCTACAAGGAGACAGCATCAGATACCACAGGTTATGGGCTCAGTCTGTAAGACTGCCACCCTCCCCACTTCAGACACGAGATTTGAGTCCAGGTTTTCACCTGTGATTCCCGACCGACCTGCTACAGATTGGGGGTTCTCAAGACCCCCTCTCCTTGTACTTCAGACACCAGTCAAGGCCCAGCTGTCACCTGTACTTCTGACTGACTGGTTATAAATCAAGAGGTTCCTAAGACCCCCTCCTCAGGTTCCACTAATTTGCCAGGGTGGCTCACAGAATTCAGAGAAACATTTTACTTACTAGATTACTGGCTTATAAAAGAATATAACCTAGGAACAGCCAGATGGAAGAGATGCTTAGGACAAGGTATGTGGGAAGGGGTGTGGAGCTTCCATGTCCTCTCTAGGCAGGCTATTCTCCCCACATCTCCATGTGTTCACCAACCTGGAAGTTTCTGGGTTTTTACGGAGGCTTCATTACATAGGCACAGTTGATTAAATCATTAGTCGTTGAGGACTGATTCACCCTTTAGACCCTCTTCCTTTCCTAAAGGTCAGGGAATGGGACTAAAAGTACCAACCCTCTAATCACATGGTTGGATCCACTGGCAACCAGTCCTCATCCTTAAGTGCTTTCCAAACGTCACCTCATTAACATAATGAAAGATCTTTACCACTCTCAACACTTGGGAAATTCCAAGGGTTTTGGGAGCTGTAAGCCAGGAACTGTGGACTAAGAAAAAATACACAGTTGACCCTTGAACAACATGGGTTTGAACTGCATGGGTCCACTTGAACACCTATTTTTTCAATAAATACAGTACTGTGAATGTATTTTTTTCTTATGATTTTAATAACATTTTTTCTCTATTTTATTATGAGAATACAGAATACATACAACATACAAAATAATGTGTTAATCAACTGTTATCGGTAAGATTTCTGGTCGACTGTAGGCTATTAGTTAAGTTCGGGGCAGTTAAAAGTTTAATATACAGATTCTCTACTGCACTGTTTTGCGGGGGGCTGTCAACAGCCCTAATCCTGCTTTGTTCAAGGATCAGCTGTCATCTGAGTGAGCTGATTTCTTATAAATCAGAATATGACAATGTGGTTCACTGATTCTGTAATCATGTTAGTGTCCTTTTTATGCATCATAATGTTTCCTCCAGGTTATCACAAAGTTCAGATCCTGACATGCAGCAACAGAATTCAATATAGGAGGCGAAGAATTCTGGACTCCACATATTCTACCCTTGCTTTAAGCATTCACTAGTTGTGTGACCTTAGGTGAGTCTTCACGTTCCTTAGCATTCAGAGAGACAATATTTATAATAATATTCGCCTTGATAAGGGAAGCAGAAGTAGTAAAGGTAAAGGTACTCTGGAAAAGCAAAAAGTACCATATACACAATTTTTTTTTTCTGCCTTCTTTTTAATGTCCTTTCTAAGATATTGGGAACCATTGTACTATGGTGGAAAAACACCATGAGCTTCAAGCCCTTAGACCTGGGCTAAGTCCTTGCTATGCCCCTGACTAGTTAGGATGGAAGATCCTGTCCGTCCCTTCAGGGGTGGTCCCATTTGGCAATGTACCACCAAAGCTAAGACAGCGAATAGTAAATGTTATTATTCACATTTTATAGCAAGGACATTGAGGCTGAGAGGCTAGGCCACTCCAAGTAGCCAGGCTTACTCCAAATATGGGTCTAGTTAAGAGTTTATGTGCAAAAGTCTTCGTGTTTCCCTCAGCAAAGCCCTTTATCAATTATCCTATGCAAATACAGAGCCTAGCTTCAATCAGTCTTAAGCAGCCTATTATTCCAACTTTTGTAGGACAGAACAATACAGAATTCCTTGTTAACAATCCAGCTGGTTGCATAATGATGACATCTGACTACACCCACAGGGCATTCTAGTGTCTAGCGTTGCTGGAGGACACACACCTAATATAAGTACCTGACATGAAGCTTTTGATTGCCAACCCTTCCATTTCAAATACATCCATCTTAAATAAACAAATTGCCAGCTGTATGACACAGCTACTAGCTAAACAACTAGGAACCAGGGCACCCCACGTGTGAAGTTCCCCTTTTTAAAAGCCCTGGGCAACCAGGGGAACCGATGGCTTGACTGACCCTGCTTTTCCCCTCCCGCACCTGAATTTCCACATTTAAGTTTTAAAGATTTTATTTATTTATTTGTGAGAGAGAGAGCACAAGCAGGGGGAGTGGCAGCCAGAGGGAGAAGCAGGCTCCCTGCTGAGCAAGGAGCTCGATGTGGGACTTGATCCCAGGACTCTGGGATCAGAACCTGAGCCAAAGGCAGACATCTTATAAAACTCAACACCCAAAAACCAGATAATCCAATTATAAAATGGGCAGAAGACATGAAGAGGCATTTCTCCAAAGAAGACATACAGATAGCTAACAGACACATGAAAAGATGCTCATCGTCACTTATCATCAGGGAAATGCACATCAAAATTACAATGAGATATCACCTCACTTCTGTCACAATGGCTAAAATCAAAAACACAAGAAACGACAAGTGTTGGTGAGGATGTGAAGAAAAAGGAATCCTCTTGCACTACTGGTAGGAATGTAAACTGGTACAGACACTGTGGAAAACAGTGTGGAGGTTTCTCAAAAAATTAAAAATAGAACTACCCTATGATCCAGTAATCACACTACTGGGTATTTACCCAAAGAATACAAAAACACTAATTCAAAGGGACACATGTACTACTATGTTTACTGCAGCATTATTTACAACAGGTAAACTATGGAAGCAGCCCAAACATCCACTGACTGATGAATGGATAAAGATGTGGTATACATATATAATGGAATATTATTCAACCATTAAAAATGAAATCTGGCCATTTTCAGCAACATGGACAGAGCTAGAGAGTACCATGCTAAGTGAAATCAGTCAGAGAAAGACAAATACCATATGATCTCACTCATATGTAGAATTTAGAAACAAACGAGTGAAGGAAAGAAAAAAAGACAAACCAAGACTCTTCACTATAGAGAAATGATCGTTACCAGAGGGGAGGTGGGTGGGGTAATGGGTGAAATAGAGGATGAGGATTAAAGAATACACTTATCATGCTGAAAAGATTAAAATGATTTAAAACAAGAATTACAAAAAAAAAAAGACGACGACTAAGATGGAGAGAGATATTACACAGTTGAACCTTGAGTAATGCAGGGGTCAGGGGTTATGAACCAACCCCCGATGAAGTCGAAAATCCATGTATAACTTTTGACTCTCCAAACACTTTACTAATAGCCTACTATGGGAAACCTTACTGGTAACATAAAACAGTTGACTAACACATATTTTGTATGTTATATGTATTATATACTGTATTATTACAATAAACTAGAAAAAAGAAAATGTTAAGAAAATCATAAGAGAAAATACATTTATACTATTGTACTGTAAAAAAATCCATGTACAAATGAACCCACAGTTCAAACCTGTGTTGTTCAAAGGTCAACTGAAATTGATCTTGTTGTATCTCAGGTAGATCTTACACACTATATTTAATAATCTGTTATCAAAATGTAACATTTCCCTACTCCTTGTTCCACTGAGTAGGGAACAGTTTATCATCATAAAAAAATTTTCCTCAGTTGATTGTTTAGCATTTCATTTCCTGATTTTAGCATTAGTTCTCTATTTGCTCTTGTTCCTTTTGTGAAATTGTGGTGTTTAACAAGATGTCTACTTTAATGAAAGCCTTTCCAGTCAGTTGAAGCAAAGTCCAGATATTTTAGCAGGCTTGTTGTGAATAGGAGAGAGATGTGAGCTTTCCTTTTTCTTTGCTCTTTTATCAATTGCCAAAGGACTCTTCTTTCTTGCACATTTTCTCCTCTGGAATATATGTCCCTTTAAATTGCACGGCCAACACTTTAAATAGCACCTACTTTGAAGTCACTTTCCTGCAGCCCTGCTCTGATCTACTCAGTTGTTGTTACTGTTGTACTGCAGTTTTAAACTCTCTGCTGCTTCAACTAACCTCTTTGCTGGCATCATTTCTGGTTCTGCCTTTGCTTGCCACAGAGCCTTCTAGCAGTGAAGGAGTAGGGCAAGGACAGTGCTAGGACTTGTAGTTTTTTCTCTTTTTACTCATAGTTATTTTGCACTTTTGGCATTCTCTGTATTTTAAGTAGTATTGGGCTTGGTTTGCAATAGAATTGTCATAGTTAAGGAGTTATTTCACGCATCATTTAGAGAGAAGATTTTGGTATGGTAATTCGCTTACTACACACCCACCACTGACCTCAGCCACCTTGTTTTTAAAAATCCTCTCTTTATATATATTTTCAAAACAAAAAACAAATGTGAAAAAATAAAAATATAATTGATTTTTGACTTGTTATTAACTTGAAATTATGAGGTTTTGATTAAATTTATAAATAGTATTAGAATGTTTACAGGAGGCCAGCTTCACTATAAACTTAACTATCAGAGCTAATTCCTTAGGTAGGTTTTGCCTTGCGTTACCAGTTTGCCAGATATCTGAAATGCTTAAAAATAGAATATATTAAATGTATAAATGATATTTAAAATATTTAGTTATTTATTTAGGTCTTTAAATTGAACCGACAGCTTAAGGGAAATATGGTTGGCCACTCTTGAGTAGATTAAACATTAATCAAAAGAAATATCTTTTTTAATGAGGAGATAGGATATGGTTGGTCTTGATGATTAGATCTCTCCTTGCCCAACCCTGTAACTTCATTTCTAAAGCTTATCATTTCTCCCGAACATATAATGGTGTTTCATCCTCATTTGCTGCAGCATTTACTGTAGACACTGGGGAATACTAAGGGAGAACAACACAGAGTTCCTAAACTCATGGACTTCTATTACAGAAGAGACAGGCAAATTAAAAAAAAGCAACCAAATAAGTAATTCCAAGGAGTGATAAAGCTATAAGGATTAAAAAACATATAAAGGATAAGGGAAGATAATGATAGAGAAGGGTGTTAGTAGAAATATAGTCAGGTAAGGCTTCTCTGAGGTAATGATACTTAATCAGAGATTTGAATGAAGTGAGGGAAAGATAACTCCAGACTTTTTTCCCCCTAGTCTAGGAAGGGCCTTGAAGCAGGAACAAGCTTGGTGAGTTTATGGTACAAGGAGGCCACTGTGGTCAAAAAAAGGGTAAAAATAGGTCAGAAAGACAGATGAGGGCAGATCATAGGACTTAAGGGTCACGGTACAGAATTTGGATTTTATTATAAATGTGATAGGAAGGCATCAAAGTATGCCACCCAGCCTACTTAGGCTACTTTTTTTCTTCCTTGGTTATCTGGCTAACTTCAATTTGTCTTTCAAAATCTAGCATCATCTCCTGTAGGACATACACCTTAACTCCCTGACTCCCCAGAGAAGGTCAATCACTTCCTCCTGTGTGCTATTTCAGAGCTATAATAGAGGACTACTGGTCGCCTTTCGCACTTCTGGAAGGACCTAGGCTGTTGATTTTTTCACAGAACTGTATTTTGGTTCCCCACCCCATCTCTGTGTGATACAGCAGCGGATGCTAAGTAAAGATTCAGTAAAGGAAAAACCTATTCATTGGCGCAAGCCTCGACTCCTTCCAACCACTTAGGGTGCCGTACCCAGAGGCGCGTGAGAACTGTTGCCCTGGGAGGCTGCGTGCAGCGTTCCCCTGCTCTCTGCTACCCGAGGAAGGGTTGCGTTTCAAGGATACTCCACTGGCCAAGAATGCCTCTCGGGAAACCCAATGTCCCCACTGTCAGCTGCCTGCTGTCTCCCTTTTGCGCACCTTTGAGTCTTTCCTGGGGCCTGGAGTGGGATTGGTTTTGGGGTGGGGGGGACTTTGGGCTTCCCAGCTCTGCGTCCGAACACTCCCCGCAAACGCTCCCCTGGCCTAGTCACGCACCCGGCTGCCCTCTCCTCCTGAACAACGGAAGTCACCGCAGCGATGCCCACTGGCACACAGGGCCCGCGTCGCCCCACCTTGCTTCTAGTGTACATCCCCTCATTCCGCCGTCGCCTCGTACGGCTCCCCGCGCCCCTCACCTAGGATGCGGGTGATCCCCAGGGTCAGCTTCTCCAGGTGCGGCTTGCTGCAGCCCGGGGGCGGCGTCTCCTCCATGGCTCGCGTCCCCGCTCCGCGCGCGGCGGGGGCAGCGGCGGGGACGGAGCGGGAGAGCGGAGCGGGAGAGCGGGGCGGGCGGGAGGGCTGGACACCGCCCCAGAGGCTCGGCCATCAAGTTCACGGCATGCCGGGAGTTGTAGTGCTTGGCGCCTGAGAGCGATGCGGGGCGGAGATGGAAGGCCTGGGCTGCTCTGGGAATAGTAGTTCCGCGGCACACTTGTTCCCGTTGCCTCGGCGGTCGCTCCACGCCACGAAGCCGAGACACAGCGGCTCCTCCACTGGCACACCAACGCCCCGCCGGGGCCGGCCGCGCAAACGGGGGCGGGCCTCTGCGCGGTGCGGCCAATGGGGACTGGGCCTGAAGGCCGGGGCGGGGCGGCCGCGGCGCGACGCCCGGAGTGGCGGTTGTTTCAAGATGGCGGACGTGGCGAGCCCCTCCCGCCGGGGTGCGGCGGCGTTCTGGAGCAGGGACTGTATCCTTTGCCCGCCTGGCAGGGGGCGCCGGCGCCCTCCCGGGTGCGGCGACCGGCGAGCGGTCGCGTGGGACTCTGAGTGGAGGGGCGAAGCTCGATGCTGTCCCCGGGGGCGGGGCCGTCCTTTCCGGCCGCCGTGTAGGTGCCGGGCTTTCCCCTGGCTGGGGTGTTAGGTAGCAGAGAGCCTGATACTGTCACCAGGCTGGAGCACTAGGTGTGGGGAATCAGCACTGATGTTTCCCAGCCCTCCTTGGTGGTGAGCTTTGTAAAGATGGCCTAGAATCGTGGCCCTGCGGGGGGCTGGGAGGGTCCCTCTGACCGTGGTGACCTCGGTCCGGCTGAGCCTCTGCGGAGGGAATGGTGTTGGCTGGACAGGGAGCCTTTTTGTCTTGGTTTAGGACTGTCCTTGGTCTGCGTTGTTGGGAGCAAGAAGGGCCCTTTTCTATCTTCGAAGGCCTGTCAGTGATGATTTACTTTCATGCTGCGATTTTCGGAGAGGTGTGGGGCTGAACGGGGTCTGGTGATGCTGGTTACGGAATAAAAAGCGTTGCAAATCATTGCTGCTGGAAGTAGTGTTGATTTACATGCGGGTTTTGGGTCACCACCGGCAGGATTGAAGTTCTTGGATTGTTTTGGGGATGGAGAAGCTGTGGAGCTTTTACCGTTGTGGTGGTGTTCCCAGTTCAATAACTGTTGAGAAGTGTGACAGAACTGGTTCGTTCTTTGGTTTAGGTTGACTGTCCCAGCCTGATCTTTTCCTGGTAAGTTACATCACTTTCCTTAGAGGAGTGTTACAGGAAAGGAGGGCAATCCCTGTATTGGGTGCCTGTAGAGCAAGTCTTTTTGTCTGTTTGCTAGGATTCCTGATAGCATTATTTGAGGCATTGCTGTTAACTGTGGCAGAATCATTCTCTGTACGTTCTACTTAGCTCCCAGTGAAACTTACTAAATTATATTATCAGTTTTCCTTATGGAGTTACAGTACTGGGATTACAGTGTCATGTGGAGGGAGGGATATTTTTGCATTCCTTGCTGCTCAATGTTTAGTGTTAGGCACTTTCTAAACATAATTACCATTTATCTCTGATAGGTGGGTGACAAGTAAAATCATGCACACACACTGTGGATGAAAGCACACTAATGCACTGTGCACATTAAATATTTTTTTCCTTATATATCAGGAAGGACGTAAAGAGAATATGTGCATTGGGAACTGGGCTGAATTAGGAAGTCAGGAAATTGGGATGAGTCTTCTCATAAAACCCTGCGCTTGCAGTGATAGAATTTTGTGATAGAGGAGATATTTGAAGGTTATCAGCTTATAAAATGCTTTGTTGGTGTAATCATTTTCATAACCACCTATGTGGTTTTAGTTATTATTCCTTAACTTTATGACCAATGGAATTGTTCTGATAAGTATAAATGGTGTGTGGGGGGGGCAGTGTATTGCTGTGGCACTGATTAAGTTAATAGGTAAAAAACTGAACCTGTGCTCTTGGTTGAAGCAGCCCTGTATGCTCACTTTTTCATATGGTCATATTATTCCTTATTTCACATAGAAGTCCTACATCCTCCCTTTTCTCTTACATTCTCCCTTACTTTGAAAATTAATGTGAAGTACTCATCTTCCCATTAAAAGTGAGGAGTTGAAATTATATGGGGGAAATGGTGGTGATTACATTGAAAGAAATTCCAATTTGAAATGAATTGCAGGGTTACTAGTATTACCCATTTCCCCCACCTATTCCACATAATGACCAATTATCATCCAGCCTCAGATATTTTCATTTTAAATGTCCGTCGGACACAAAAGCAATGAAATGTAAATTTGCTATGAATCTTTGCTAAAAAGCATAAGGATAGTTATGAATCATTGGGTTTAATCATGTGTCTTTGGATCTGGATCTCTTTTCCTGTTACACAGATGACTTCCTAGAACACCCCATAGCCTTTATATGGAACTTTCAATAGTAAAAGACCAAAAAGTATGTACGTATAATCAGGTATTCCTTTCACACTATTGAAAGACAGATTTTCAGTGCTTTGCCTAAACAATTAGAGAAATGTGATTGAGATATTTCCCAGTCCTAGATGTTTCTGTCATGTGAGGACAGATCATCAAAGATGACTAAACGTCATCTTTTTACTGTTGTCTTTATGAGTTATGCATCTCCTGCACAGTATGATTCAGCAGTGCTGTTTTGCGCAAGGTATGTTTTTATACCTTATGTGTAAACAAATGAGTATGCCATGTTGTCATTTTATGGGTTAAATCTGCAAGTAAAATATGCCCCTCCAGCCATAAACTGCTTTCCTCCTTCATTATAGCTCCTGGTAATATCAAAAGAAATTAGTGTTTCTGCAGTATCTATATTTAATTGGTAAATACACCCCAGTGTGTTATCATTAACAGTGTTCTTAACTTGGTGTTAACAAATACGAATTATAAGGGACTTGGTCAAAACATTACAGTAGCTATAATCCATGCCATTGAATATTCAATTAAAAGTAGAATCTTTATGTTGATGTTAAAATAATATACTAGCCAGGAAAGTCACTGGGGTCAATAATAGTTACATATACATGTGTTGTTGGTAAGTGATTGAAACTCAAAAAGTTAGAGTGTGCAGTCCTAAGTTTATTTTCTTCAGCTCTTGGTGATCTGGAATAGATATGCGTCTTTCTATTACTTCTACCTTGGGTTTCTAATTACTGCTTTAATTCTGGGGTTTGGAGTTTGGTACCAACATTAAGGATGCTTTATAATTTGCTGTACTAGTCTTAGTAAAGAACTTCCAAAGATACCGAAGTAGAACTGAGGTGGCACAAAGAACCCAACAAGAGGTCCAATATACATTTGGTGTATATTATGCTTCCTTGACTTTTCCATAAAATATGTTTGTATATTTTTTTAAACTTTGTATTTGAAGAAAGTAAATATTTGGGTTCTTCAGATGATGAAATGAAGATAGATTACAAATGATTAGGAAGGATAGGTTGGATGGAGGCAATTTCAAATATTTTTAGGCTTATTTTTTAAAACTCTTGTTAAGGTCAATTTATTTAGCATTTTTATATTGGAAAAGATACTTAGCATGGATGTAGCTAATGGGTTTTGCCCCCATATTTTGAAATTTTTCTCTACCCTTCAAGGGACTTCTGACTGGTCTAAGAATTAAAGTGACATGAGACAGATTAAGAGGAGAAAAATCAAACTTAATTAGGTACGTATGGGGAATCCACATATATGTGAGAGATTCCAAAGACAAGCAAAATGAGTTATGCTTGTCATTCCGAACTAAGGAGAAGGGAGTAGAGGTCTAGGACTTTCAAGGAAAGGAAAGCAATTCATAGGAAGATGAAAAGGAATAAATGTTTGGTAAGCAAATGTTTTTTGGGCCATATAGAAACAATGGGACATAGGAATTTTAACAAACAGACTTTGCTAAATTCCTCCCTACCACCTCTTATTTATATTGTACTGTAGTTATTTTTGGTGATATCTATCTCTAGGAGCAGGTCCTCTATCCAAATTCTTTTAGGCAGTTAGTGGGAGGTCGAAGTTTCTTCATGAGTCTTTTGGGCCTTGATTGTTTTCAGCTCAAAACAATTTACATTCCAAAATAGCACATCTTGGGGTAATGGGTTCTGAACCCCAACAAGATAAAGAGAGACAACACCAAAGAGTTGCTGGACAGTGCCTCATAGAATTAAATACCACTTTCATTCTTTCAGAGATGGTTTACTGTGAGCTGGGCATTTTTTTACTTTAGGAGATAACAAACATTGAACAAAACCAGTGGAAAATCTTCACCCACTTGCTGCTTAAATTTTAGTGAGATGAGGTCATGAATAAGTAAAATATGTTGTATGTCCAGTGATTATTGGTGATCTGAATGAAGAAAAAGCAGAAAAAGGGTAGCTATGATGGGGGTCTTTGTGTCTGCTTTTATGCCAGTACCATACTGTTTTGATTACTATAGCTTTGTAATATAGTTTGAAATTAGGAAGTGTGATGCTTTAACCTTATTTTTAAGATTGCCTTGGCTATTTGGGGTCTTTTGTGGTTCCATACAAATATTAGGTTTGTTTGTTCTATTTCTGTGAAAAATTACATTGGAATTTTTGTTTAAAGATTTTATTTATTTATTTATTTATTTGAGAGAGAGAGAGAGAGAGAGAGGGTGCAAGCGAGAGATAGCACAAGCAGGGTGAAGGTCAGAGGGAGAAGCAGACTCCCCGCTGAGCAGGGAGCCCGACACAGGACTGATCCTGGGACTCTGGGATCTTGACCTGAGCTGAAGGCAGACGCCCAACCGACTGAGTCACCCAGATGCCCCTGCATTGGAATTCTGATAGAGGTTGCACTGAATCTGTAGATTGCTTTGATCAGCATAAACATTTTAAAAATATTATTCCAATTTATAAGCACGGACTATCTTTCTATTTGTGTCTTCAGTTTCTTTCATCAGTGTCTTAAAGTTTTCAGTGTATATAGGTCTTTCACCTCCTTGTTTAAATTTATTTCTAGATATTGTATTCTTTTTTGATGCAGTTGTAAATGGGATTGTTTTCTCTCCAGTGGTATGATCTTAACCTTTCTAAATTTCTCCTTTAAATAGTTCTTTTTGTCTTATATTTCTTCCACTTGTGGGGTGGCTGGATGGCTCAGTTGGTTAAGCCTCAGACTCTTGATTTGGCTCAGATCATAATCTCAGAGTTGTGAGATCAAGCCACACTTTGGGCTCCAGGATGGGCATGGAGCCTGCTTAAGAGTTTCTCTCCCCCTCCTCCTCTTAAAAAAAAAAAAGTTAAATTTCTTCCACTTGTTAAATAGTAGGGCTTCTTGGGACATTTCATGAATGCACTACATAAGAATAAAGCCTTTGTGTTTGCATGATTGACTTGCCCTCAAACAGTGTTTGTTCTTCAAAGCTAAAGCTCATTTTGAAATTATTTATTCATGACTAAATAACTTACCAGTTCTCCAATAATAAACAAACTGGGGCATTTAACTCCTTGTTTACAAAAGGAAAGGAAATGAAAGGAACTTAACAGAATTTATAGGGTAGGGTATCTCACTTGGAAATAAGCATGGATAAAAGTTTTATGGAACAAGGCCTTTCAAAAATTTTATAAAACATATAGTTATAAATATGTAAAAATGAACGTTAAAAGATTACTAATTTTGCTACATTTATGTCACTTGGGTTCCTTTCTAGTTTTGTTTTTTAAAAGCTTATTATAAATTCCCAGGTCAAAAGAAATTAGGAATTAGAAGTACAGAATAGAAGCAGCATTTGGATATTGGATGATCTTTTCTAGTATTTTCCTTCATGTCCTTCTTCATAGTTTCTGATGAAGAACAATCAGTAGTATATGTTCCAGGTATGATTTTCTGTATTAATTTCATAAGCTTCCTTTGCTTCTTAAGTGTTAGGAGAAAATAAAAGAGTAGGGCCACTTTGCAGGTATAACTATATGCAGAACAATCCATTGGAAACTAATTTAAAAAAAATGTGGTTAGACCTTACTAAGGTTTGAAATACTGCCTTATTTTAGGGGCTGGTCGGGCAAGTGAGCTTTTGATGAATTTGTAAAACACTTCATTCATCTATTAAAGAGCAAGAGATTCTTATTTTTTGTATTATGAATAATAGCCTAAATTCAAAGAAAAATGTGAAAACTTCTTGATATAAGGTTTATGTGATAGACTCTAAAACTTACTGGTTATTACTAAATGAGTAGTAAAACTGAGCCATTGAAGGTACCCTAATTATGTGGAAAAAATCAGATTTTAATTTCCCCTACATTAAGGTATATATTGTATGTTGTAATTTATTGGTTTTAATATGACTTACGAATTTTCATGTCACCTTTTAAAAATATTTCAATTGAATCTTAAATGTATTCAGAACATAATCTTTTCATGATACATTATTTACTAAGAGGTTTAAAATGACCCTGTCAGGTTCCATAAAGAAGTATATCAGAGAAGAGCTTCGTGGGGGGTGAGTTTAAGAGACTAAAGTATAATTTTGATATTTTGTTTGATGGAAATCCTTAGGAATTTCTACAGAAGGAAATACCAAATCAAGACACAAGTTAAGTCCAAAAGCTGATGTTAAACTTAAGACTTCCAGGGTTACTGCCTCTTCAATCTCCATGGAGTCTTTAAAAGGTGCAGGAGATTCAGTAAATGAACAGGTCAGTAATTTCCCTTTTTTTTCCCCCTTATTCTCCAGTCTTTATAAATGCGGACCAATAAGTGATTTTTCTATGCTGAGCCATTACCGATAAAAACGGGTAGAAGAGTCTTTGAAAGAAGTTAGATAATCTACAATCTTAAAAGGTACAGAAGAGGGGTGCCTGGGTGGCTCAGTCATTGGGCATCTTCTGCCTTTGGCTCAGGTCATGATCCCATGACTCAGCGGGAGTCATGGGATCCCTGCTCAGCGGGAAAGCCTGCTTCTCCCTCTCCCACTGCCCCTGCTTGTGTTCCCTCTCTCGCTTGTCTCTCTCTCTCAAATAAATAAAACCTTAAAAAAAAAAAAGGTACAGAGGATTCTAGGATGCTTTACATGGTATAAATATATAAAGTATTTAGAATACTCAGAGGTTTTGCTCTAAAATGTCTAGGCTTGCCTTAAGCCTTAGTTAAGAAAAATTTATTACCTTAGTATGTCTCAAAAGACTACATCCTGATCCATGTGAAGTTAGTAAATCAAATTGACCACCATTTTTTCTTTTCTTAAGTGTGCTTTATGATTTTTGTTCTTGTGAATTTGTTAGATGATTTGGATAAACCTCTCTATATAAGAAACTTTGTTAAAATTCCCCTGCATTATTATTATTATTTCCTTCACTTTAAAAATATTATAAAAACTCTTTATAGCCTAGTCATTGATTTCTCCTTCATCTTTGCCTTTGTATTAGTATCTGTACATTCCTTTGCTACCTGTCCTTTATCTGATAGGTTTATTTTACTTTACTTTTTCTTAAGGTTAAGTCAGGGTTTGGCAATCTATGACCTATAGGCCCAATTTCCTTGCTGCCTGTTTTTGTGAATAAAGTTTTATTGGAACATAGCATGCTTATTCTCTTAATATTATTGCTGCTTTTCTATTCTAATGGTAGAGTTGCTACCATAGTGCTGTTGGTCCAGAAAGCCAAAGTATTTACTATTGAACCCTTTATAGAAAAATTTTTTCAGTGCTGGTTTATGTTCTTGAGGACATTTCCAATATCTAGTTTGTTACTAATTATTATGTTTAGTAGTCCATGGGATTTAACTGTGACTTGCCCAAAAGGCCTACTTTGTTACTTGGATCTCTGTTGTACCCACTTTACACTGGGACGTGAATAGTAGTTGAATTTGCAAGATCTTATCAAAATTGCAAGTGTTTTTTCATAAAATGGTTTGTGCATTTAATATTGAACAATGGCCTTCTTTTGAATGAAGTCCCTATTTTTTTATGATTCTATTGGCTTATTAACTATAATTCTTTGTTGGGCTATTTCACTGGCTTTGGGAATTATAGTATACGTCTTTAACTTATCACAGCCTATTTTAAGTTATGTTTTCCACTTTACCTATTATTTTGAGGACCTTTCAACAGTCTGTGTCTTGACTTCCGTGATATTGTCATACATTTTACTTCTATAAGTAAACTCCCAATACATTATTGCTTTTGCTTTAATACTGTCCTTTTTTTTCAGATTTACCTATAATTCACATATCATAAAACTTACCCTTTTAAAATGTACAATTATTATTATTTTTCTGTATATTCTCAGAGTTGTGGATCCATTACCACAATCTAATTCCAGAACATTTTTATCACCCCAGAAAGAAACTCCATATGCATTAGCAGTCACTTCCCATTTTCTATTCATCTCAGCCCCTAGCAGCCACTAATCTACTTTAGTCTCTTTAGATTGGTCTATTCTGGGCATTTCATGTAAATGGAATCCTATATTATATGGCCTTTTGTGGCTGGCTTCTTTCACTTAGCATAATGATTTCAAGGTTTATCTATGTGGTATCATGTATTATTACTTCATTACTTTTTATGGCTGAATATATATTTATCCTTTCACCAGTTGAAGGACTTTGGGTTGTTAGGCTTTTTGGCTATATGAATAATGTTGCTATGAACGTTCACGTACAAGTTTTTGTGTGGATATATGTTTTCACTTCTGTTGGGTATTTGCCTAAAAGTAGAATTGCTGGGTCATGTAAATAATTCTGTTTAACCTTTTGATGAACTGCCAACATGGCTATACCAATTTACATATTACCAGCAATATATGAATGAGGATTCCAGTTTCTCCACATTCTTGCCATCACTTTATAGCCATCCTTTTTATTATAACCATCCTAGTCAGTATGAAGTGGTATCTCATTGTGGTTTTGATTTGTATTTCCCTAGTGACTAATAATAATCATTTCTTTATGTGCTTCTTGGCCATTTATATATGTTCTTTATTTTATTTTATTTCAATTTTTTAAAGATTTTATTTATTTATTTGACGGAGAGAGACAAGCGATAGAACACAAGCAGGGGGAGAGGGAGAGGGAGAAGCAGGCTCCCCGCTGAGCAGGAAGCCCAATGCAGGGCTCGATCCCAGGACCCTGGGATCAGGACCTGAGCCGAAGGCAGATGCTTAACGACTGAGCCACCCAGGCGCCCCTACATATGTTCTTTAGAGAAATATCCATTCAGATCCTTTTCAATTGGGTTATTTGTCTTCTTACTAATGAAGTTAAAAGAGTTCTTTATACCCATCTTCAAGTCCCTTATAAGATATATGATCTACAAACAGTTTCTCTTATTCTGTGCATTGTCTTTCACTTTCTTATTGGTGTCCTTTGAAGCATGAATGTTTTGAAGTCCAGTTTATCAATTTTTTTCAGTTGTTACCTCTGCTTTGCTGTCATATTGAAAAAATCATTGCCTAATTCAAGTTCTTGAAGATTTATACCAATATTTTCTTCTAAGAGTTTTATAGTTTTAGGTATTACATTTAGTCTTTGATCCATTTTGATTTAATTTTTGTATGTAGTGACCCAAATTCATTCTGTTGCATGTGGATATCTACTTGTCCCAGCATCATTTGTTAAGACTATTCCTTTCCCTTTGATTGTTCTGGCACCCTTGTTGAAAATCCCTTAACCATGTAAATGTAAGTGTTTATTTGTGGACTCTCAATTCTATTCCATTGATTAACATTTCTATTTTTATGCCAATACCAAGCTAATTACCATTTGGAATTATTTTTTGGAATCAGGAAATGTTAAGTTCTCCAAGTTTGATTTTCTTTTTTAAGATTTTGGCTATTCTGCATCCCTTGAATTTCCATAGAGACTGTAGAATCACCTTGGCAATTTCTGTACAAGGGTCAGCCTGAATTTTGATAGCAATTGCAGTAAATCTTCAGATAAATTTGGAGAGTACTCTCAATAATATCAGTTCTTCCAGTCCTTGAATATAGTGTATGAGATAGCTTTTCATTTACGTAGGTCTTCTTTAATTTCTTTCAGCGATGTTTTGAAGTTTTAGGTGTATGTATCTTGTGCTCTTTTTGTTCAGTTTATTTCTAAAGATTAGGTATTTTATACTTTTTGATGCTATTATTAATGGAATTGTTTTCTTAATTTTATTTTTGAGTTATTTGTTGCTAGTGTATGGAAATACAGTTGATTTTGTCTATTAGTTTTGTATCCTGGAACCTTTCTAAATTCACTTATTAATTTGACTCTCATAGTTTTTGGTGATTTTCTTTCTTTCATCCTTCCTTCCTTTCTTTTTTAAAATATTTTATGTATTTATTTGAGAGGGACAGAGAGAGTGAGAGAGGGCACAAGCGGGAAGGAGGGGGAGAAGCAGACTCCCTGCTGAGCAGGGAGCCTGATGCGGGGCTCAATCCCAAGACCCTGGGATCATCACCTGAGCCGAAGGCAGAAGCTTAACTGACTGAACCACCCAGGCGCCCCTGGTGAATTTCTTACAATTTTTTATATATATGATTATGCCATCTGTGAATAGAGATAGTATTACATCTCCCTTTCCAATCTGGATTCCTTTTATTTCAATTGTGTTTTAAAAAGGTTCAAATAATTAAACAGAAGGTTTTTATTTTTATGTTTTATTTTTTTTAAAGATTTATTTATTTTAGAGAGCGAGAGCATGAGTGGGAGAGGGAGAAAGAATCTTAAGCCGACTCTGCGCTGAGTGTGGAGCCTGATGTGGGACTCGATCTCATGACTCTGAGATCACGACCTGAGCCGAAACCAAGAGTTGGTACATAGGTGCCCCTCAACAAAAGGCTTTTAAATTTACCTGTGTAGCCCCGCATCGGGCTCCCTGCTCCGCGGGAGGCCCGCTTCTCCCTCTCCCACTCCCCCTGCTTGTGTTACCTCTCTTGCTGTCTCTCTCTCTCTCTCTCTAATAAAAAAAATGAAAAAAATCTTTAAATTTACCTGTGTAGTTACCATTTCTGTTGTTCTCTATTTGATATTATTGGTATGCTCCATCTGCTTAAAGTACTTCCTTTAACATTATGATAGTTCAGGTGCACTGGGAATGGATATTTTGGCTTTTGTATGCCTGAAGAAGTCTTTGTTTCACTTTCATTTTTACTGGTTACAGAATTTTGAGTTGATAGTTTTTTTTTCCTTTAGTACTTTAATGATGTCATTGCCCTGTTGCTTGGCTTCACTGTTTTTGAGAAGTCTGCTGTCATTCTTACTTTTATTCTTTTGTATTTAGTATGTGAGTTTAAACTACTTTTGGGATTTTCCTTTTATTCCTAGTTTCAAGCAATTTGATTATAGTGTGCCTTGAACTAATTTTCTAAATGTGTCTTTTGGTTGGGGTTTGTTAAGTCTTTTGGATTTGAGAGTTTATAGTTTTCATAAAATTGAGAAAATTTTTGGCCATTATGTGTTGAGATATTAATATTTTTCGAGGACTCCAGTTATGCAAATATTAGGCCACTTGAGGTTACTCCACAGCTTTTTGCTCATTTTTTTATCCAGTTTTTTGTTGTTGTTGTTGTTTTCTGTGTTTATCTGTAGATGGTTTATATTGCTTTGTCTCAATTCATTAATCTTCTTCTGCCACTAATCTCATTCAGTGTATTTTTTATATAAGATAATGTTTTTATCTCTACAAGTTCAATTTGGGTCTTTTGTTTTTATTTAT